CTCTCGGAACATGATCTGCTGCTGGAATTTCAAAATCCTAACCACAAAACAACAATCAAATTCAATAGAGATTTATGGTTCCAGAGCAACACTCCTTGGGAAAACGAGAAAGACGTAAAGTTACCTTCTTTGCTACTCCATGATTCCCTTCCCTCCTTGACCAGCCACTTTGTTGGGAATTTGCCAACTTCCTATCACTCTGATCAGCCGTAGCTTCTACAACTGAATCAGTCGTCTTCACATCCTTGACCTCTTCACCAGCTTCAGTGATTTCTCCATCCTCGACCTTTATCCAAAATCAAGAAAAACGATTTCCAAACTGTGTTAGGAAGACAATGTTAACAAAGCCGCCCTCAATAGTACCAAAACGTACCCCTTTTCTCATTAGAGGCAAAATTATATCTATTACATACAATCATTACTTTTTCTTCCTTCCTAATTTCTCAGACTTCAAACGGAGGGTAAGATTAAGACCCATTACAATTAGCTCAAGTTTATATAAACCACAACAGCCAGAGCAGAATTACTTTATACAAAATGCAAGGGGTCTTACCTTGACAACCGCTGATGAAAGCCGGCGTTTTGCAGGACGTTGATCCTCCGCATCAGCTCTATCTGCCTGAAAATTACAATGGCCAATTACAACTCTAAATAAAAAAAATAATGATTGTAAACTTAACAGTGACCTAATTTTATCAACACAAACGCAAAAATTCCCAAGAAATTTTCGCTGCGATTAGTTCCATGGAAACAAAAGATGAATTCAAACAGGCCAGCAAGTGGGTAAATTACAGGTCGAGTAAATCCACGCGGACGAACACCAGCACCATTGGCTGCAAAATTGCGAGGACCAGCGGCCACCAAGCCTCCCTTCCGGAGTCCCCTAGGGTCTCGAAGCCGTTCCGTAATCTGAAGATTAAGAAAAAAGCAAATATGAATTACATGTATATCTGTATATATGTTTGTGTGTGTATATACATATAGAGAGGGAGAAGCAGACCTCGCGCTGTTGGCGTTGGAGTTCATCGATCTCCTTACGGAGCTCCTCCTGCGTTTTCTCAACTGCGGCGCTTCCCATGAGTCGATGAAGAAAACGAAAAAAAGAAGAAGAAGAGTGTGTTCACCAAAACCCTCGACCCGCGTCTTGTTTCGGTTTCCCCAAATTTTTTATCATTCTAAAACGGAAAGGGTTCCGTATCCTTCCACCTAATCTTCTTTATCAAACACTTCAGTTTTTTGAAATTTAATCCAATAACTACAAATACTACTCTAAAAGTTATAATAATTTTAGCCGTTGAATTAAATTTCAAGAATTCGAATTATTTGATGAGGAGGATTAGGTGGAAGGGATCCAGATGATCCCTTTCCATCTCAAAGATTGTGGCGTAAGCCATTAGTTTGCATTACATCCTCTCTTCCGTCCTTTTAATATAGATAATATCGTTTGTTGAGTATTTTAACGAGGAAGTTTAATCCTCCTACTTTAAGCATGTGGGCTTTGAAATTGCTGACAGGAAACCTAATGACTGCCTTGAGTCGTTCTTTCATGATCTGTTGGGGTTATGGGGGGCTAGAAATATTCTGATTGAATGTGATTCACTTCAAATTGTGGATTCGTTGAAGGGTTCTATTAATCTCTATTTCATTGGACAGATTATAGAGGATATTAAGGCCTTGCTTCCATCAGTCACTGGAGCTTCTTCTTGATGAAATTGGAGTTCCACCATAAAACCAATTGGCAATATGAGGAGTAGTCCAAGATCATATAAGCACACCTTGTCCCTCACCAATGTGGGACAACTCTCAACACGCCCCCGCATGTGTGGCAGATTTTTAAGCCTACACGTGGACAAAAACTGAATGATGTGGAGCGCGTGTGGCCATTGGGCTTCACACGTGGACAACCTTGCTCTGATACCATGTTAATGTATATACTACGAATTTGTAAGAACAATATTACAGAGAGAACTTAGAGAGAGAGAAAGAGATGAAGGCTCAAGCTATTTTTCACGTATTGATGACTTAACTCTGAAGTTATTACATGAATGAGGTATTTATACAACTCACAAGATTCTACTAAAACTGCCTATCTAAGATTTAGACAAGTGTCAATATCTCAAGTGCACTATCTCTATCACTTCTATCCATGGTTGCCGCCAAGCTAACGGAACCGCCCACGGACTTGCTTGTCTCGGTCTTACTATCGTTTCCTTAAAGAAAAAAAATCTCTCAACTGAAGGCATCCCCTAGAAGTGGATTTGTTTATGAACCGAATGTAAACTTAAGTTATGGGACCAATTTCTGTAGTTTTTACTTGTGAAACAGAAGTTAAATGCACCGCAAGTGAACCTCCTCCTTAGAGCAAATCCACCGGAGCAAAAAGAGCCCAGCACCAAGTGGAAAAAACAGGCTGGGACTCAGCCAATTCACTCCAGCCCGTGTGTTTGCCTGGCACCCAGCCCAAGCTGGTCTCCAGACCAGCCCATTTTTGACAGACCTTGGGACCGGGCTGTTTGTGTTGTTAAGCCTGGCGCGTGTTCTACACGCGGGCGTCCAAGCGAGTAGCAGATAGAAAAATCAGAGGCAGGGCCCAGCCTTGCAGGCGCATTAACCTCTCCCCCCGGGTGGGCGACGTGGCCCAATTTCTGCCGTTGGATTTCCAACGGCTAGTTATTCTAGACCGTTGGATTTCCAACGGTAAAAAAAATTTGAATTTCACTTTTAAACTGGACCATCCGATCACATATCAACGGTCCACGTTTTTTCCTCCAAAAAATTAAGAATTTCACTTTTAAAAATTACATAAATTTTTTAATAAATTTAGATATTATTATTATTATTTTATTTTTTATAAATTCAGAAATTAAAAATAAAAATATTATTTTATAATAAAAATATAATATTTTAATAAAATGGACTAGGCTATTTTTTGTTAGGGGTGGAGATGCTTTGGCCTATTACTGTTCATTGGGGTCTATTACTGTTCACTTGAGTGGATAAATACGTTGGGTGCTGGCACAAAGTCCTTAGGGGTGGACTTGCTCTTAAAGCACAACCCATTTGCCACTCCACTAACCAAAGTATATGTTAGGGCGACCCAGAACTGGAACACCATTTCAGCTCTTATGACATTTTTGGTTATCAAGGCAAGACTACCATCAAAGACAAATTTGGTGGAGGATTTTGGCGGGAGAGGTGAAGGTGCGGCTTCCTCTCGATCTTCATTGGGAACTTCATCTCTACCTCTCCCGCCAAATAATTTTATACTAATTGTTTGCTTGTGGCATTTGGTACACTATTAACGGCTTGAGAGACCTTGTCCTCCATTAATTTGGAGTGAGTAAGAGGAGGGTATGGAGTTCACTTGTGAAGCGGATGCTAGAAACTTCTACGATGCATACGCTAGAAAAACCGGACTTGGTGTTCGTGTGAACTCACTATTGTTCGATGATTACATCTTAGACCGTTTTGTTATTCAAAACAAGGCTTGTGAACGTCATATTTGGAAATAATCTAGATCGCAAAGTCACCAAATTCAACATAAGTCAGTTACAAAGTCCTTCCACCAACTCCTCATTCATTCAAATTCACGACCAAGTATCCACAATGCATACGCTAAACAAATCCGAATTAGGGTACGGACTTGTCCCAATCTGCTAGGCGTTGTCCCAATCTACAACACGCACAACAAACCGGAATTAGGGGATGGACATGTCCGAATCTGCTAGGTGTTGTATCCACTGGATCCGAGTAATGAATGAGCCAGTGCATATTGGGATAACGACTGTCACGGCCAAAAACCCTAAAGGGAGGTGAGGGCCTCTAGGACCGCTTGAAAGACAATGTCGGAGCTGCAGAACAACATTCCAGAACTGAGGTCGGGACCCCGCGGGGGGGTGTGGAGCAGGCCGTCCTCGAGGAGAGGGGCGTCTGTCTGGTCATCGTCCGATTTGGCCGCGTTGGGTTCGAGACTTGTAATTGTACGGAGGTGGCAACTTGAAACGCACACTTGATTTCATATTTATTTATTTACTGATTTATTTGTTCATTTATTACAATAAGGATAGAGAGAAATCTAAAGGAAAACTTAATTCCCTAATCTTGAATTCTAAATCCTTGAATTTAATTATTTATGGTTTGCAAACCTCTATTCGAATGCCTTCCTTCCTATTCTCTTGGTTGTCTGTTACTTACATACCTATTAGGCTGATACAATTAAGGCGTCTGCTGCTGAAAGCCTTCAAGACATTGTTGTGATTTATCGCACTGATAACACAGACATTTCACACTTTCAATCACGGTATGAAAAGCGTTCTAATTACCAGGTCCAAGTTTTTCTCTACTTTTTCCAGGACAAGCAGCTTACTTGTGTCAATAGTGATTTTGTCGTCACAATAACAAAATTCTATTGGTTTTGGTAGGACGTAGATGGATTCATTGACTTTGGTTAACCTTGTGTAGCAGTACTGGCAAGCAATGTTGCTTAATAGTTAGTTCGTTTCCAAACTTTTGTTAGATAAGCCGATAGAAAGAAAGAGAACAATATTAAGCAGGTATATTTCATTCTTTTAGTTTGTGTGGTAAAGACCCGTATAACGTTGTATAATGATGAATTAACCATTAAAAAAGTACGTATAATTTTGTCTACAAATTTAGTTTTCCTAGCATTACTTTTTTCCATACTACATTTGTACCACCTCTCAAATAGAGATGAGACTCATATTTGTAAATGAGTCTCTGATAAAGAGACAATACAAATGTAGTACAAAAAATGTGAAGTGTAACATTATTCATGCACATATACATGATACACTGTTCATCAAGTTTATTCACATGGGTGCTTTAAAGATGATGAATAATAATTGCATTTACAAAAATCCATTACATAGTATATATTCCTAAGTAAATGGAGCCAAATGTAGAAAGATAATGGCACATAATATTTTATGTGATTACCCATAAATTTCCCTTTGCACAAATGGATTATTTTTTTGGTAATCTTGCACAAATGGATTATTAATTAAGAATATTACATACAATATAAAAGAACAAAAAAAAAAGGAAAAATATTAAGAAGAGGATTATTCTGAGGTGTTTTTGCGAATGAGCTTACCGTTGGATGAGAGAAAATGTTCATCAATAGCCCAAAGGTTGCTAGTAGATGAACTACCGTTGTTGTCTCCATGATCTCTTGGGGCAATAGCATTCGGCGCAGGATGACTAGTTGTTGTATGGTTATCTTTGTTAATAAGGGATGTGATAGCAGCTGCAACAGCAACTCTAAATTTGGGATCTGAAGCAATGGCACTTACATTTTCAGCCATGGACATATTTTCTTCCCCTGATCTCCAATTACCTTTCTGATCGTCCCCTAGCGCCACTCTGGTTGATCTACTGCCGTTATCCAAAAGACGGTTGGTGAGACTAGTACTGCTAGGGTAATTTGCAGATCTGCTGCTAGTGCTGCTCATCAACCAATTAGTACTAAAACCTGGTGGTATAGATGAGGAGCTGCCACCCATGGTGTCATAGAAGTTGTTCGTGAGGTCAAGAACAAGTCCTTTGGAAGGGTCATGAGGATCGACGCTTCGCAAGTTTGACGAGGAATGAGATGAAGGGTTCATGTTCATCATATGATGGTAAGGGAGGGATGCTTGGGTGTAAGTAGAGGGTGTGCCATCTGCTAAATGAAGGTTACTTGAATCTAGTAACATAAAGGAAGCTGCAGCAGCAGCTGTTGAAGCCATGGCTGTTGCACCCATGGCCGTCGCACCAACTGGAAGAGGATGGTTGTGTGTTCCTTCATAAGTTGTTATAAGTATGGACATGTCCTCTTGGCATCTTTGGACCTACACATATGCCATCCAAAACATCAACATATATGGATTAGTCTACAAACCCTTTAAAATAAATGACATCAATACCTCTTAATCGAACAATGTTCGTGCATAACATCCTACCAGTACCTTTTCTTTTACATGATAATGTAGAATTTCCCTATATATATACCTGTTTTCTGACTGGGCATCCCGCGACTACTGTGCAACGATAATAGGCTCGTGGGCAAGGGTTTCCTTTTGAGATTTTCTGCCCATATTTCCTCCAACTGCACCCATCATTTATCTGAAATATAGCTTAAAAACATTAGCGATTAAAAGATATTCTTACTTACTATATAGCTATATTGTATGCATGAAGTTAACCTAACGTAACATGTACAGAAGTTATCTTAAGAAACCGAGTAGTGCTTAATTAGTAGTAGTTGCAAATGGAACGTAGTGCTCACCGCGGCCGATTCACATCTTGATCTAACCGAAACCCTAGCTTTTCGATTGGGTTGGGAGCCACCGTGGCTTGGAGTTCCGGCCAATTCCGGCCGCTGTAACTTGTTTTGCAGTTGCACTGACGATGATGTAAGACTAGTAGTCCTCGTCAATCCTTCCTTGTTATTGATCTCTTCTTTGTCATCATCGTCTTCTTCTCCTTCTTCTCTTCCCCTTAATTGACTGGCAGTAGTAGCAGAGCTGGTTAGCCTCAGTGACAACCCTAGTTGACTCTCATCATCACGTTTTGGTAACAGTGGAGATCTATGGCGAATATCTGACATCTTGGTAATCTTCCTGGGTCCTTGAACTGCGTTGGGATCGTTACCAGCAAGTGATAGAAAGGTTTGAGGATCCTAAATTAACGAAATTAAGATATGATTAATTAACAAAACTCTAATTCATTAATATTATTTCTTGTGGAAATACAAAACACGCAACTCGAGCAATAAAAAAGAAACTGTAATTATTCATCTAATTAAAAGTCAAAAAAGAGAAGGGAGGATGTTAATAACAAAATTAAAATTGGATTAAACTAATTAAGTACCTTGTTTTGGCAACTTTGATGGAGAACCGTAAATTTCATTTGAAGATCATTATAATCTTTCATGGTTTGCTCTACGACCTTCCTCAAAACCTCGTTTTCTTCTTTCATACGGCTCATCTCCATTTGTAAAACGCTTAACTAGTAAAACATCACATGTATGACAGTAATTTAGTTAATTAATTGGTTAATAAATTATCATAATTAAACTACAAAACTTCTAATTTATCCAAAAAATAAGAAAGTACAAAACTTGTCTAATGCATCTCATATAGATATAGGTTAGCTGTATGTATAATTCTACCTGTACCTCTTGATCCGTCTTCATATTATTCTCCTGCACCGATGTTTCGACTACTGAGACATCATCGTCTTCCACTTCCCCGGCCCCGGTTTCCGTTGTTTTTCGCCTCTTATTCTGTACTCCTGGTTGTTGCTCATCCTCCTTTTCTTCTGCTGCTGTTGATTCAACGCCATCGTTGACGCGATGAGCATCTTCTTCTTCTTTTTCTTCCTCGCCGCCTACACCTTCTTCTTGTTTTTCTTCTTTTGCATCAATTTTGAGTGAGAGATCAACATCCAAGTCTTTCTCCTTGTCTCCATTCCCCATTGAAGTAAGACAAAGTTGCAGAATCAGTTCCCCTCTCTCTATCTTTCTGTTTTTTTGCTCCTTTTTAGGCACCGAAGTCAAATCTCCCGTCTCAACGACGTATTATTAGACGAACAAGGACGCATCTAAGCTTTGACTTTAATTGGGCCCTTCATTAATTAACCTCCATTAATCAAAGACTAATGGAATCACATTACATTTTAATACTACCACTGACTAGGACACCCCACGCATATAAAAATGGAAGGGCGCTCATCATGGCGCAATGCCGATCCAGTCCTTCCCCATCTAAGTCCCAACTATACTCTTACTTTTGTCCGCCCGCTTCGGCTTCATTACTACGTGGTACTTAGTATTATGGGTGTTTTAGTTTTTGATTTAAACAACTGTTAGATATTTTATTTTCAACTTTATCCATTCATTTTCAGCGTCACTCAATGTTACATACCGTTTGAAGAAAAATTACTTTCTTTTTATGAATATAATTAAAATCGTAATTTGCTCTCTTAAAAAGAAAACAAAAATATTAGGTTAGTTGGCTTTCTTCGTGGCATGTTAAATTAAATCCAGAGCAAAGCCATCTATTAGCTAGCCAATATACTTTTTTGGGAGTCGAGAAGACTCACATAAGCATTTCAGTTTTCCTCTAACTACCATCGTGCGATTCACACTTTCAATTTTATATTATCTTATTTTAATAATCCGCCTACACAAAACTTAAATGAGCTGCAAAAGTAGTGCAGTTGCAACAGAACGATAAAAAGGTACAGATATAGCCTATATATGGAATTGGAAAGCCGTTAACCCTAATACTTAGGCAGCTGCCTAATATATATATATATACGGTTTGAATATAATAACGCCGTTCTTGCCGTGCACGCTTGGACATAATACATACAACTTCTACAACCCCAATTGTTATGCATTCATGCATGGAAGAATTTTCTTTCATTTTCCAGTTCCTCCTAACAAAAACCCTAAATGAGGACAAAACTAACTCAAAGTTTAATACGAACCTATTATTCCTAGTCATAAACAATTAAACCATTTAATTGTACTTACTTAAGTCCATTGTATTTTTCAATTTTTACCTTACACAGTGTACGATCCATTAGGTCCTAGTAGCGAGGCAATAGACAATTAAAACTCTTACCAATCGATTGTATGTGGATTGAAACTATCTTTCAATTCTCCCTTTAATGAAGATTAGTAATTACTAATTTTTCAGAGTTTCCTTATGTCATGATTCATTAATGACACCTAACAATTTGTGATGGCTAAACAGAAAAGGTGGAGAACTTAATATGGGGAACTTTAACAAAAAACTCCCGTTACTGTTTACTTTAACGAAAAATCACATTTTTACACTAAAAAGTCAATCATTGTACTATTCACTTTACCTTTTATTTTGTCTTTATTGTTAAAACTTAAAGTTTTCAAGCCTTTTTCATTAGTTTTCCTCTTAATATATTTATTGTAAATATCTTTTATGAAGAAGACAATATATAGTGATTTTTTTTTTTGAACAAATGATATTATCTACACTAAAGGGGAGGGGGTTCCTCAAAGTTTTCAAGTCATTTTCATTAATTTTCATCTTAATATATTTATTGTAAATATCTTTTATGAAGACGAAAATATATAGTGATTTTTTTTGAACAAACGATATTATCTACACTAAATAGGGGAGGGGGTTCCTCACAATGGGCTAGCAATAATGTGGTTTAAATTCGCCTTTGACGAGAATTGAACATAAGACATCTCACTTCCAAGTGAAAAGGAATATCACTAGACCGTAGTACTAAGTGCCAACAATATATAGTGAATTATTTTATAACTATGAAATTTAGCCATGAACGGACTTTTATGAAATTTAGCTATGAAGACAACCCCAAGCTTATTTAATTAGCATGAGACGTTTTCTGTAACATATTAAAATGCTCCTTAGCCGACACTTAGTATTAGGCCTAATTAGCATGAAATATTATGACGAGTTTAATACAAAATTATTATGACTGACCGACGATGTAATTTATCATAAATCTCTCACATCTCCGAGAAAAAAAATTTGCTTGTTAACAGGATCATCAAAATTGACGATCAAGAACTCGTGATCGATCCCTAAACGCTGTATTTTGCGGCACTATTATATAGTTGCAATCAAAACTAGATCCAAATTGATACTTTTTCAATTGAAAAACCAATTTAAAATATTGACATCATCTTCCTCTGTGCAACACGAGCCCCGGACGAAATCCTAAAAAACAAGAGAAACCTTGGGATCAGATCTTGAATTTGTCAACAAGAAGACCTCCCACTTCCCCCGATAGACAGTTATATGTTTATAAACAATTATTTCTTATTTTAATTTTAACATATCCGATCCCATTACCTCCCACGTTAACTACGAAGACTTATATATATACTAGTTTCTCCATACGCACTCACGCATATACAAGAGGTATTTTTTCATCACAAGCGCTATACGTCCCTAAAAATGTGTTGGTTAGTTGTTTTCATATTTGCCCATTCAAAGTTTTTGATTTTGAATGACTAACACTCATTTTTCCAACGAAATTGAAAGAGGCCAACACCCATATTTTATATATCCTATCTTTTTACTAGACACCTTCAATGTGTGAGAGGCATTTTCTAGTCACAGGCGCATAACACCTCCAAGGATGTGTTTTCTTTAGTTGTTTTTCATTGTAATTGTCAAGAAAGACTTCTTCATTGTCATGCATGATCTAAATATTTGTCAAGCTTTTTGTTTTCACTTTGTGTAAAGTAATGTTTTATTTTATATATGTTCTACTCCCCCTTACAAGAGACTTTTTTAATTGCGGTGGTGGTTTTTCATTGTAGTAGCTAGGATGTACCATTTACGTAAAGTCCAAAACCGAGCTAACTCCTTTTCATTCTTTGTTTTATTCACGTTGTAAATATATTTTTTTATTGTCGGAAAAAAAATAAAAATAAAAAATAAATTTGACTATCGCATTGGCTTCCTCTGAATTTGAGCACCAAGCAAACTTCTTGTTTTTGTTATTTTTTTTGTCTAACGTTTCAAATATCAGTACTGAATTGCTTAACTATTCTTCTCTAAGACCAAGCTAACTTCTTGGTTTCAATTTTTTCCTTCTTTTTAGTATTTCTTATCCACATGCAGTGCATCTCACAAACATACGCGGGGAAAAAATGAAAAGGAAAGAAAACCTAACAAAGATGAAATTTTTTATAATACATCCATGAAAACTAAAGAAAACCTTATAATATGTTTCCAAGACACGTTTGTAGTTACCAACATTAAAAAAAAAATTCCATCCATAAGTTAAAGTTTCATGCAAAATCAACGCCATAGTTGCCATCCATTTGTCTCGACATGATGCTTCAAGTTTTCATTGCGAATCTACAAACAATGAGAAAATTAGAAGTCTGACCATAAAAAAACAAAGCATCATTATATTAGTTGAGAGCAGTAGTAATAGATGTACCTTTGAATTAGACAATTTACCTACAACAACACTTTTACTCCAATATGTTCCCTGATAGTTGAATAAAAACATGAAGAAAAGTAAAGTGTTAGAAATAATTCTTAAACGAAGAATAATAGGATACACTAAACTACGGTACAAAATAAACAGTATTTCTAATAAAATCATCCTACAGCTCTCAAAAGAATGCCGGAAAAAATCCATGAATAAAGCCAAATAAATTAAGTATGCATCAAACCGCACTTCCTATGCATCAAACCGCACTTCCTTTAAGTTCTGTTAGTAATCAAATGTTCTGAGTTCTTCTATGACTTGATGCAAGGCTACCTTTTAATTAATGGCCGTTTATTGTGATTATTTAATTTGTGAAGTTGTGTTTTTGATAGAAGCCTTAACACATTGGTATCACGTTTATGGCTAATTTCATTAGCAAGATTGCAAGAATATACATTTTATTGGAGAAGTACCTTAACACATAGGTATCACTCAGTTTCCAACAATAATCATTTCATAGATTTCCTTATAAGAAGAAATTGAGCAAAGAAATAAGAAAAATATTCTAATTAAAATGCTTATTGTGTTGTAGCTTTTGCACCGCAAAGAACAATATGTATGAGAGAACAATAAAGAAACGATTAAATAGCAATGTAAAATGAAGGAATTTCGATGAAAAAATATGAATGTGTTTTCAATCAGGCCTACATGAAGAAGCCTTTCTCACCTTTGATGCAGGGCGGACAACAGAAACATTATGTATGGATTAATGTCTTCAACTTCAATCACCTAATTCATATCACAAATCCATACATTTCTAAGAACGAGTATTCCCACCGCCATAGCTTTGTTGCTTTGCTATGTGTTTTCATTGAGAAGAAATTGAAATAGCATCATGAAAATAAATCAAAAGTTATCTTCGAATAAAAAAAGGAAAAAACATTAATAAGAAAAATTCTCATGTTATTACCTTATACTGGAGTAAAATTTACTCACCCATTTTTGTTTCATCACATCAAAACAAAAATAAAGGAAGACTTATAATCCCATAAATTAGAAAAAACTATACTATCCTAATCCCATTTGACTTTGCTGCCCCACACCTAATGTGCCTTGTCTCCCATTATAACTGAAACACCCCCAAATCACACCAGCCAGCCGTACAAAGTCACCGCCCGCATCAAATATGAGGGCACGATTCAGGCGACAAATTCAAACAACGGAGTTTTTATGGGTAGTTATCCATGCGTATGAAGTGAGGAAATTTTTGGCATTTCGGAATATGAAGTGAGGACATTTTTGGCATTTCGAAATGTTTCATCATTTTAGGGCTCTCATTTTATATATAGATATATGAAGTGAGGACATTTTTGGCATTTCAAAATGTTTCACCATTTTAGGGCTCTCATTATATATATATGGAAAAATTAGTATCCGGTCCCTAGTTCTTACTGTTCATTGACTAAGACCTTATTAGTTCTCAAATTTTGATTCAAGTCCCTAGCATTAATGTGATAATGAATTTACATGTTTATTATATAATTTTTTAATATAAAAATTAGTAATTAATTTAGGGTTTAATACTCACACCTCTATTAAACTTCTAATTAATTTTCAATTCAAACATTTCCAAAATAATAAAAAAATTAAATTAAATTAAGTTTGTACCTATTAGTTTTTTTTATATATTTAAAAAGATTCTCAATTTTTTAATCTTAAATGTACCCATTCATAAATTTTTTTAATCTTAAATGTACCCATTCTCAAATATATCAAAAATTTGATATGTAAAATGTACCCTTTTTTAATATAAAATCCTTTCAAATTTTTTAATCCATGTTTAAACTTATATGGGTACATTCTTTTTCTTTGATTTGAGAATGTATCCATGTTTTGGTACAATAACATTTTTTGTTAATTTTGGTTAATGTACCCATACATATATGTACACACACACACACACACACAATATAATAGAGAGTATAATTTATATTTTATTATTTTTAATCCCATAAATTATGGGTTTTATTTAAAATCTCATTAATATAAACAATTACAAATTTCAATTTTTAATTTTTAATTTTAAAAATATAGTAACTTACATTATTACATTAATGGCAGGGACCTCAATCAAAAACTAAAAACTAACAAGGTTTCAATAAAAGAATATTGATAGCTAAGGACCGCATCCAAAGTGCCCCTATATATATATATATGAAGTGATAACATTTTTGGCATTTCAAAATGTTTTACCGTTTTAGGGCTCTCATTATATATATATAGTATTCTACGAGCCTTTCAAGGGTAGGGATTTTTATTTTCTTTTTAAGATTAGTTGTGAGACTCACACCACGTTGAATATCAGCTAAATCAAAAATATTTGAGCCATTTAATTGAGTTCGAAGAAATTGACAAATATTATATTCTAGAAAACATTGAAATTTTATCGTGACAATTAAATAAGGAAATGATTTCGGATTGAATTGAATTTTTACAAGAATGATCTATGCATTGAGACTTACAAAATAAACAGTTCGTATCGTTGAAGTTCAATCTAGAGATGAGTGGAGATCCATTTCCTAAGAGCTTGTGTGTGTGTGTGTGTGTGGTGTGTGTGCCATTCTTTTTTTCTTGCTATTTCCATCTTTCGGATGCATGCATGTATACATGTATATATTATACAGTCCACTATTACCATAAGGGAAAGTTTAAACTTTTTAGACTGAAGAGAAATTCAGTGCAAATGGATGGGAAATTTTTTAAAATGCATTGTAGAGACGGAAGATAAAACCAAGGTGGTAGTAGTCTTTGATTTGGTCGTAGAATGTTTCAAAAGTGACTCACATGAATTCAGTATGCTACTTAATTATGGATATCGCAATTGTGGTGGCATGACTTTGTTGTAAAAGCAATTTTATTGAAAATATCATATAATTACCTGGAAATTTCCATTATTCATGTAGCGAAAGAATTTTCATTGAAAAATATCAGATAACGTGAAAGTTTCCATTGTTTGATCCAAATGACACACACACACACACACAAATTAACTTAGCTAGGCTTCCATGCACTGAGGCAATGTAATTAACTTAGCTAGGCTTCCATGCACTGAGGCCATTCCATTGTTTCCATTTTCGGTTGGAAGTTGTCTACTTGGAGAGAAGAACTTGTATAGCACTGGTATGGTACCATGGTGACAGTTATGTCAATAAAATAAAGAAATGGGCAAATTTTTATCTACATGTTCTTGTTTTATTGACACGAAACATCACATAAAGTCGATAAGGTTTCTTACTATTTGTTGCTAGAAGCTGTGTTGATTCGGTCCCTTATTACCTATTACCATATGGTGAGGGCGATGGTACATCCACAATAATCTGACATCGAATTCTTTATATATATGAAAGTCAAACTTATGACCACCCATTTGGAAGTGGAGAAGAATCTAAACTCGTAGTAGACCGTACTTCGTAGTATTAAATAGATATATGAGGTTAGATCAAATATTAACAAATAAATAAATAAGTGAATTTTGTGAGCTTAAATATATAAATAGAAATTATGAAAGTATTTTCAGGATAGTTTCATGCAAAAATATCCTCTTCCTACGTAAGTCGACTTGAACCTTGCCAGAATTCTACTAATTTTTTTTTATAAGAAATGAAAGCACAGGCTGGAAAGTTCTCCCAAACTTGTTTCTTAAGTACCTTCTAGTGGCATGTACATTTTTACTCTCACCTTTAGATTAATTTAAAAGTTGTAATTGTACGTTTCCTTCATATTTTTGAGTCTCTCTCTGGGGTAATATTTTTTTCACCGTTCTATTTATTACGAGTTTAAATTTTGAGATCTGTGTAATGGTGTAGTTGGACTGTTTTCAGCATTCATGTGATAGACATAAATATCAAAATTTCAACTCATCCAACAATAATAAATAACATTATTCTAAAAATTCCTACTAGCACATGAGCCAAGCGGCATCCCCCCCCCCCCCCCCCCCGAGATTAACTCCTAGTCCTAGGCATTTGAAACTTGAGAAAGAGCAAGTCTAGGCGCTTGTCTAGCCCACCTAGACTCGCCTGGGTACCTGCTTAGGTCACAACTCTTACTTAGACAGAAAATAGATAATTTTCATTTTGTATTCAATGTTTTCAATAAACTGTAAAATACTTGTTATAAATATTTGAATAAATATTCATTCTACGTTTGTTCCTGGTGTTTTTAACATCTTCTAATACTTTATAATCTATATGTCATTCTATTTTACAATTATGTATTTTTTTAAGTACAAGTAGAAATTTATTTATATATTATATAATTTAATTAAAATTAAAAAAAATGCATAAGCCGCTGCTAGGCGCTAAGCTCCTGCCCACCGTCCAATTAACGTCTAACATGTTTTTGAACCTTAATAAATATGCGGTGAGCATTGCCATTACTTCAAGATAGTGAGCAAAATGCACCCCTCCCTATGTATCTACACTTAGAAGCCAAGTATATATTCACAAGGACTTGGAAATTTGGAGCTGCAGCTGTCCAAACGAGGAGATGATGAATGAGGACCAGTGTCAGTGGAGACTGAAGACTCGTGCAATGCCAACAAGTTTTCATCCATCATTTGCAGATCGTGTAATTTATTAGTTATTTTTGGTTTTGCTAAACTCTTAAATTTCTATTTAATTTGTATGGAATTTATGAATTTCAACGTCTGTTCCAACTTCACATGTCGTAACATGAGAAGAGAGGTTGTAGAATAAAAGAAGAAATTCTGGGTTTCGAAGAAAAAGAATATTCAACTCACTGTTTAGTTAAATATGATATAATTAGTACCCTTTCATAGAGTTAAACAGCTTTATTTGGACAGGGGACGAGTATTCTACTAAAAAAATGCACAGGGTCTGGCTTTTGATACGGAAATCATTCTCTTTGTCCACATGATATTAATTTCGAATTTGAAATCCGAAACGCAATGGATTACAAAAGAAAATACTGTCAACTAGGACAATCATTACTTCCGAATCCATCTAATCTAAGAGAACTTACACCCTACTAAGGCAATAATTGCCTCGTCTTGAGCAAATGTAATTATTGTTTTGGTGAATAATAATTGTCCTAGTGCATCCTTACCCCGTAAATGAATTGTTTGGGCAATTGATACTAAAAATTTAAATAAATTTTATGTTTAATTTCGAATAAGACTTTTAACCAATCCTGTCACGTCAATTGTTATTATTTGAAATTACAATCTAGTCCCAGTCATGCCACGGTTCATATTCTTTTCATTTTTTTTCCTTTCTGTATTTATAATTTTTAAATATTTTTTAATAACAAATTTAATATGGGCCATTGGATAATATTTTTATTTTTTTTTGCAATCCAAATGTCCAAGTTGTGCCACGTGGACAAAATGTGGCACAACAAGGATTGAGTGGTCGAATCCTTTTTCCTTCCACTGTAGCCCGACTGATTGGGTTTAAGGTGGAGAGTGGAGAGGATTTTGTGAGTTTGAGGGATTCAATCACTCAAATGCTTGAGCAATTGAGATGCGTGGACTTCCTCTAAACCAATAAGCTTTTATAGGCCGAGTGATTTCCAACCGTTGACGTAGCATGAAGCTAGTAAGGATTACAAGCAGAAATCATTGAAGAATAAAATTATGGAATCCACCAATTTGATAGAAATCTCAAAGGATAGTATGATTAATTGATTGAAAGATGATTACAATAGAAGTCATACCATGGCTTAAATAATGAGATATTTCCCAACTTTAATTCTTCTTTTCCAAAATTTGAAAACATTTTATTTAAAATTTTTTTGTGTTGTTGGAATTGACCCGTATCTTGTACTACTCCAACCCAAAAAGTCTCGAACCGACCCGAAAATTGTTTTGCCTGCAAGTCACTTAACAAGAAACAAAAGAAAGTGATTATCCAATTGGAACTGGGCTTAAGAACAAAGGACAATCATATTGGGCTTAAGAAAGAAACCCATTTGCAATTTGATCCCAGCCCATCACCACCACCCTCCCAGAATGTCCAGGAACCTCGTCGCTCCTCCCTCCCTGTAAATTTGCCACTCTTTTCTCCCTCCAATTTCTCCAAAAATGGAACCCCTACAAACTTCCTGCAAATCGGAGCACCACCACCAAAACCCCAAGCCCCAGAATCTCCACCAACTTCCATCACCACCACCGCCACCGCCATTTCCACCCCAACCTGCTGCAAATGCGGAGCCCCAACCCCCATGGCCGCTCCCCCACCCTCCTTCTCCGACATATCCCCTCCCCCAAACTACCGCCCAATCCGAGCTCCCGCCATCAACCTCCCTCCAAACTCTAACTCCCAACAGGCCATCATCCTCACCCCTGTACCCCAACCCCTCTCTGTCCCCCAAATCTCCCCTCCCTTCCACTTCCAATCCCCCTCCAAAGGCATCCAGTCCCCCGACGACCTCCGCCGCTTCCACGAATCATTCTCCGGCAAACACTTTGTCGGATTCGTCGCCGCCCTCTCTGAGTCCATCCGCGCCAAGAAAATCTCCGACCCCTGTCACCAATCCGACACCGTCAACACCATCATCTCCATTCTAGAGACCCTAATTCAATGGGTCGACGAAATCCCACCCACCCAGCAAGCCGCCCGATACGGCAACGTTTCATTCCGCTCCTGGCACGAGCGATTGTTCGAAACCAGCCACTCCCTCATGCTGCAGTTCCTCCCCGAGCATCTCCACCCTTCTACCATCGAGATCGTTCCGTATTTCACTGATAGCTTCGGGAACCCGAGCCGGATTGATTACGGTACAGGGCACGAGACCAACTTCGCTGCTTGGCTCTACTGCCTGGCGAGAATGGGGGTGATCAAAGAAGAAGATTATCCGGCCGTCGTGGCTCGAGTTTTCGTCAAGTACTTGGACTTGATGAGGAAGCTGCAGTTGGTGTATTGCCTGGAGCCGGCAGGGTCTCACGGTGTTTGGGGTCTCGATGACTACCATTTCCTGCCGTTTATTTTCGGGGCGTCGCAGTTGATCGAGCATAAGTATATGAAGCCTAAGTCAGTTCACAATGATGATATCGTGGAGAATTTTTCGAAAGAATATTTGTATCTCTCGTGCATTCAGTTTGTGAAGAAGGTGAAGAAGGGTCCATTTTCGGAGCACTCGCCATTGTTGGATGATATCAGTGGAGTGCCTAATTGGAACAAAGTGAATAGTGGGTTGCTTAAGATGTATAAGGCTGAGGTGTTGGGGAAGGTTCCGATTATGCAGCATTTTCTGTTTGGCTGGCTCATCAAGTGGTATGATCCTTGCCCCTTTCCCTCTCTGTAAATGGTTTGAATATGATTGCTAGTTTCTGCAAATATGGAAAGATATTAAGTAAAATTTTCATTTTACTGTGTAATCTAGTGATTATTGATAGTTTAGCAAACTTAGGTTCGTAGGAACCACGCTTACGCTTGGTAGAATGCTGAAGTTAGTTTTCCTTACTTGGATGAACCACACTTAAACTACTAGGTCAAGTACTCGGTGTTGTGCAGCGTGCTTGGTTAAGCTTAGTAACTTGTTTTGGTGTGATTAAAAAAAATTGGTTATGGAGGATGCTTCGAATTGGTATATTTATCTCTACAACATTAGGTGAATGTCTAGCAGTCTTGGCAGTCCATTATTTAACGTTATTGAATTACCTCCAATGGCTATGTTATTAAACTTCTAGTGTCAAATCAATGAGATTGCTGCTAGAGAAATTTTGGAGCCAGGTTTAACTGATCACATCAACTATTTCATCATTGTTAGCAGGGTGTTATTTTGGTTATCATATTCTAGTCATGATTTTCAGATTACCTTTGTGCTATTGATTGCACAACCCTTAAGAATGGTGACATTCTGTTTACCTTAAGTTGCAAAAATGGTAAATTCCAGTATTGTTTTTTTTTTATGTACTGTTGTTGAGCTATATATTTTCACAAACAAAATATATTAGCAAGTCTTAATAAAAATGGGAAGACTTCAAAATAAAGTCCAAAATATGGACCGACTACAAATAAGGCTCACTTTTTATGTGTGTATGTGCATATATTCTTATATATACTATATTTTATATATAAGAAATAAAGAGAGGGAAAAACAAACCTACACCCGCACACGTGGACCTTGGCGTAGACCAAGTCTGAAAGAAGTTCGTCATCTACATGGCAACGGGTATAGAGAACGTGTGTATCTAGAACCCTCTAAAACTCCCACGTTCTCCACTCAAGAGATGGTTTTCTCTCAGCATCTCCACACCCCAGGAAAGTTGCATCCCACTAACTTCAACTGCCATGTCCACTGTTCGCCTATAAAAAGGCATCGAACCAAAGCAAAGGGAAGGACACGGAAACAAGGGAGGAGACCCTGCAGAAATTAGGAGAGAAATTGAGAGATCTCGCCAGAGAAGAAGAACGAGGGAGGAGAGCAAAGCGAAAAAAAGAAGGAAAAAGGAGACACGGCAAAGGAAAGAACCAAAACATTTAAAGGTACATATCTATCTTTCTAGATTTCTTTGTTTGGTTTCTCTCAGTTCTACAGGAAAAGAAAAAATGGAGCATTTGGCTTCGCTCTCCATCACGGCGATTTCAAACTAGAGAATAAAGCCGTAGGCCTCTGTCACCTTCCTTTCTCCATCAGTGAAGACACTTGTAGCACCGTCACGGACGTCAAACGAAAGTCCAAAAGGATGTTGCAGCCATGTCGTGACCTCTCTACCCATCAAGTTCGTCTATGCCGAGTAGTAGTCCATGCCGTTGTAGTTAATCCCATGAATTTCTTCGGGGTGGTCTAAACCACCCCGTGAAGTTCCAATCAAATTCAGGACGCTGCAATGGCTTTAACACCACCATCGCTGCGTCTTCGCTGTCATCAACAACCCGCAAAAGCCTGTGTCAAAAACAAATAGCCGTGGTCACATCTTCAAGGACAAGCCCGCCTCCGCATTCTAGAATTGATGGTGTTATGCACAACGTTCCAGCTGAGAAAAAGTGCCATAAGAGCTTTCAAGGAATAAAAAAAACGCTTACCGTCGTTGTTTGTCTTGAAGTAAAAAAAATACCTTAGAAGGAAAGGACGTGCTGCTCACATAGAGTACCAAAAGTGGCACGAGCTGCTGTCTAAGTTGCCAGGAAAACCGAAGTAGCTGCCGAAGTCGAGATTGATGCTGCTTCAAAGTTAAGGACGTGCCACTGCAGTTATTCCCATGAATTTCTTCGGGGTGGTCTAAAACCACCCCGTGAAGTTCCAATTAAATCTATCAACTCCCCAAACACCGGCACTTCAACCATCGTCACGGAGTTCCCGAAGCCGTTCTTCAATCCGGACAGCAGCATGCTACCTTTTCTCATCAACAGCATAGAAGAAGGCGGTCGTAGACGAAGTCCTCCGCCGTGTGAACAACAACCGTAGTAGCTCACATGTAGAATTGAAATGGTTACTGCTAGGAGCTCATTGAGAAACTTCGCATCAAAGAATAGAAGAATTTCAAAAATTGGGCGTGTTGCTGCTGCTCCATTTTAGGAGCTTGGGGTGTTGATGCTGCTCCGTAAATGAAGATTACAAACTCTGCAAAAGAAAGTAGAAAATGAAAAGTAGAGAGGGAAGAGAAGAAAACAAAGGGAATCGGAAGGAAAATCTCCAGCAAACAAAAAGGATTCATGACTACAGTTGAAGATATTTTTTTTCCCCTGCGAGGACAAAATCCATGCAGGAAGTGGTAAAACTAAAAATGCTTTCTTTCAAAAAGCTTAGCACGTGGCACCTCCAAGATAAGTAAACCATTGTCAAATATTGGGCAAAAGATAAATTCAAAGTTGGAGAAAGAGGACAAAAACAAAGGAGTTTAAAAACTCACAAAGAAGAGAAGAGTTCCAGCCAACATCATCAAAAGAAGCTTTTGTTACAGCAAAAGTAAAAATTAAAAAATGATTGATGTAGTCTTCTTCCCATACAGGAAGGCCACTCATGAGAAAAACAAAAGAAAGTCATGGATCCCCATTATGGGACACACTGACAAATTGACAAGACAAAGGAAAGCAAGGAAGGAAAAAATGGTTTACGTGGGAGTTGGCTCACGTGAAGAGGAAGAGAGGATTTCGTACTTTCAAGTCTTATTGGAATTTGGAAGCTTTAAAATCAAATGAAAAACAATGAAGAGAAAAGCTTGATGTCAGAAGGTTTTGAATCAAATGGGTTCAAAGTCCCATATTTAAATGGGGTGGAAAATCAAAAAATAAAATAAAAGAAGAAAACAAGAAGTTTGTTGCAAGCAAACTTCACAAATTAATTACGGACGGTACTTATATGGATCAAACCTTTCCCAAACCGTGTGAAAAAGTCATGCAAAGATGAATCCTAATTCACTAAGGATTTTATAACACAAGGGAAGCCCTTCAACCAACCAAAAATAAAAGGTTGTTTAAATGCCTTTTTAGTCCATATGGTGTGAATCCCACCTTCTACTCAAAGAAAGGACAAAGTCCCATTTACTTTGTACTGCACATCCCTCGTGGGTTGCTACTTAAAGAAAAAAAAGTGAAGTCCCATTTCACAAAAGGTCATGTATGGGTTTCAAACAAGTCTGAATACCCAATTGACTTCTCATTTTTTTCAAGTCTGAACACAAGAATGCAAACCCAAATCAAATATATGAACTACGCCGGTTTGATTCCGTTAAGGATACGTAGGCAGTCTGATATCAAGTTTTAGACGCAACCGTGAAACCGAAACGAATCCCTGGTTTATATAAACTAAATTCACTCATACTATCAAATACCAAAATGGCACGAAGCCAAAGAAAAGTTTCAAAGGGCACAAAGCCGTATCAAATCTCGAGTGGCACGAAGCTGAAGAAAAATCTCAAATGGCATGAAGCCGAATCAAATGCTCCAATGGCTTAAAGTCCTCGCCTGCATGCTGCACAAGGCATCAGTTGCTCCTCGCCCGCATGAGCTGAAACTGCATAAGGCACTATGCTCCTCGCCCTCATGAGCTAAAACTGCACAAGGCATCAAATCCAAACAAGTACCAAACACTATGAACTACGCTGGTTTGATTCCGTTAAGGATACGTAGGCAGTTTGATATCAATTTTCAGACACAACCATGAAATCAAGTAATGAACTACGCCTGTTTGATTCCGTTAAGGATACGTAGGCAGTCTAATATCAAGTTTTAGACGCAACCGTGAAATCGAAACGAATCCCTGGTTTATATAAACTAAATTCACTCCTGCTATCAAATACCAAATGGCACGAAGCCGAAGAAAAGTTTTCAAAGGGCACGAAGCCGTATCAGAGTCTCAGATGGCACAAAGCCGAAGAAAAGTCTCAAATGGCATGAAGCCATATCAAATTTTCAAATGCTCCTTGCTCGCATGAGCTAAAACTGCATAAGGCACTATGCTCCTCGCCCGCACGAGTTGAAACTGCACAAGGCATCAAAACCCAAACACCATGAACTACGAGTGACTTGATCCCTCAAGAGGGTACGTAGGCAATCTAGGGTTCGACCTAGGTGCAGTCACAAAATCAAACAAACATCAAATTCCTCAAGTTACATTTTTATTCGAATTGGAATCAAAGGGTATTTCTTTCCCAAAAGAAAGATTGTAATTAATAGGCGTGTAGCCTAGAATGGGTCGAACTCGAATTAATAAAACCCTCTTCGGAAAACTGAACGAGGGTGAAATTGTGTCGAGTGAATTATTTGTTTACATATTATGTACAATTTTTGCTCAACATAATTTTTGGCACGCCCGGTGGGACCCATTTTCCCTTTCATCTCTAATTTTGAAAATAATTAATGTGCTATGTGTTTTCTTTTTTGCAGAAAAAAGGAAGCATGGCACCACAAGTTACTGTTTACTTCCATGAATTCTCGGCTGCTGCATCCAAACTTGGACATGGAGGGCGTGCTGGTCGTCGAATCTCCTTCACCATCGATGAAGCACCAACTATCTGCAACATGGTGAAGGCTAAGTTAGCAACAAAGACAAACAAGGCGGCTGTAAAAGTCATCAAGGTTGGACCGAAAAAATGCCCGTCCAAGAACGCCCTAAGGAACGCAAGGAAGAGAGCAGCACGAGCTCTTAGGAAGAAGATTGCTAAGGAGTGTGTACTTGAAGATATTGAAATCATCTCAAGGGAGCTTCTTGGAGCTATTTCATCTAAGGACACCAAGGTCCCTCGACGCAAGATTGTCAAAGTGACATCATCACCACTTACCAAGGTTCCCGTCATTACTCAAATCATGATTGGAACAATCCCAATCAC